AAGCCCCAATATTTGTATGAACATTTATGTATCGTTTACAAGCATACCAACACAAGAGTTCAAACTGTTCAGGAAACACTGAGAATACGGTTTGGATAGCTCTTAAGGTCATTCATGCTGTGACCACCTTGTAACGACAGCGATTTGTCAAGACCCTGGTATGTAAAAATACAAACATTCTCAAGTTAACACAATATGGCCTTCCACAATGGCATTTGGGAGTAACGTAAAATTCAGCTGCAGAACCCAAAGTGACTTCTTTGAAGACCATTGGTCTCTCCATGCTAAGAATCGTTTGGTCTCTGCTACACGTGTACGTAAGTTCTGCTGGCGGTGCAGAAACCAAGCACCTGGCACCTGCGTCGTCAATCGCCAGCTGTCGGTTGATGAACAGTAGCCATTACGCAAGCTGACCTTGGGGTGGAGGTGCTGAAAAGGCCAGACAAAGAAAACAAGCATCCATAGCTTGGCCTCACCTTGTTGCCAAGTGCACACTCAACCCCTCTACCAAACCGCTACAATGTACGCAGCGACACCATTTCCAAGCTACCTTTATGATAGCACACAAAATCTACATCCACGGTGGCTGGCAAACGAAAAAGAAGCAAATGGGTTCCTGCTGTGGGCGTGACCTTTGGTGGGATTCAGACAGGCGACCTCCATGATAGAAGACCATCACTGTAGCTTGACTAACCGAGGGTAAGACCACCTCAGTCAGGGTAGAGCTCATCCTGATGTCAAGATACATCCTCACCTCCCAGTATGGCCTGACATTCTGTCAACCACACTTTCTCACCCATCTTGTAAAATATCAAAAAGTCCAAAAGTATCATCCAGACTGTGCTGGACATGTTCACAGGCTGTCAACCATTCCATCTTTTCCTCAGCTTTCTAGGTCTTGATAGTTTTGAATGAAAAAAGCTACTCCAAACCCACATTTATCAATTCTAACCCTTCTTGCTTGGACGAAAGGTTAAACAAACCCTGAACCACTTAATCCAGAATGATGCATCAATGTTATCAAATGTTGGTACCAAAATAGACAGATATCAGTTAAAATCAAAAGATCTTAACACCATTTACGTTTGTGTCATCATCCCAAAATAACTAATCTTCGTATGTGATCATGCAAGCATTAATTATCCTGCATCTTAGGCTGCTATTTTTACTGCTGCTCCACTTTTCCAGACAACTCAATCCTCTGATCCTTGCCATGCTCTGGTAGCAAACAAGCTTCAATCCTCCAGTCTCTTGCTCCACCACTTTGAAATTCAGAGCTTGTCTAAGGCCCTTTTGGAACAGTGCCCAAATGCCCTTTCCTTAAGAAATCTTCAAGTTCAGGCTGAACACAACCATGAAATCTGCACTTAAGTGTTTAACCAAGCCTGAGGAATGATGCTGACTCCATCAATCGTTCCAATTCAAAGAAATCTGTAACACTGACTGTCCTCCTAGCAGCTAATCAATTTGTTTGTTTTCTTAACCAAAGTGAAAATTTGTGGAGTAATTTTCGAAAACATCTGAAAATTAGATTGTGATCTTATCCTGTGTCGTAGAGATGGTATGAAAAGTGAGTTTTATCTGAAAGCTGATAAAGAGGTTATGAAGTGCTGCATTTCCTCAATCAGTTTAAACAGATTAAGATAAGAAAATTAAATACAACTCCATCTCTTTCATTATCAGGACATTAAACTGAGGTGAAGGTTAATGGCCCTGTCTTCTATAGGATCAATGAAAATCTCTGATGAAGATATCATAAGCTGAAGATATACATCCAATGCATATACCAATTTACCATGACAGTAACTCATTACTTTCTAATTTTAACAAATTTAAAGAATTGTTTTAAAAATTCAAGTTGTTCAAGAAATAAAGTCAATATTTTTATCTCCTTTTGAACATCACAAAATATGAGGTAAATATTTTAATAGATTGCTTACATTTATAAAAGGGGACTGCTGTGAAAATATTCATTTCTTGCATATGTAGATCAGCCATTGGGGCATGGTGGGCGAGCTGTCTAAGGTGCCGCGCTAGTAAGGGAAAGGTGCCTGGATCAATCCCCACTTGTGACCGGGTATAAAAACCTTGGAGCTAACATTACTTGCAGGCTCTTTCAGTGATATCACAACCCCCTAGTGTGCAGTACACAACCCTGTACACTAAAAAGAACCCACTCATGCGACAGTAGGTGACCAGATGGAGGACACACGAACACGTACAGACACCAAGTTGCGGGTATAGTAACGTGCAGAATAACTGGACAAAGTACTGTGACTGTGTGTCCCAGTTCACCCAGCTGCAAATGGGTACCTTGTGAGGATGAGGCTGTGTGATAACTCGCTGCTCCTAACAGGCTGCATGAGTTGAATACTCCCCAGGGAGTTGAGAAAAGGGAGTTAAAAGAATATCAGAAAAAGACATCCGTTGATCAAGGAAACACTCAAGCGCCTTGAGCATGTACTAGTTGCATGGATATTTGTGCTATATAAATATCCCATCATCATCAACAAGCAATGTTAACATAATTCTTCATCAGCATGATAATAACTGCAGACCTGAGTGAAATGCACGATAACAAATCAAGAATGAAAAAGATCAAAGGAATTTTCTAGGGCAGGGTGTCGCATACACACGTATGATGCGGCCCATTGATAGAGGCATTCACTGTGTTACACTATCATGTATACGTCACCTCCTTGATGTATAAACTAACGACCAGACAGCTTCTGACAAAAGTCTATTGTTTTAGATATGATTGATAGGCTGACAAGATCACACAGTAACATCTCAATGATAGCCACAATGAACTGTGGACAAAGGAGTCACTGCAGGCCTTGAAAAATGGTTTAAAATCCAGTATAGTTTACAATCCTGTCAATATTCTGGAACAATTTTACAGTATGGGAGTCAATCTAAACTCATAAAAATGTCTCCTAATGCAATCAATCATTAGCAGGGCTGAAATTTACATAAGTCTGCCAGTTGAAGACAAGGAAAATTCAGGCCGGTCTATAGACAAACCTAAATGGCAACTCTGTATTTTTGTATGTGGATCCATGAAAATATATATTAATTTCTGTTTGTTTATTAGTTGTCTAACGCAACACTCAGCAATACTCCAGCTATATGACGGCAGTCTGTAAATAATAGACTCTGGACTAGACAATCCAGTGACTAACATCATGCATATGAATCTACGCAACTTGATGAAGACCAATTCTGACCTGGAATTTTACAGGTTAATTTCTAACCCTACTGTGGAATTTTTGTTGTTAACAAGATTAGAGTTATAGGTCCACTCATTGTTAGACAAGTGAAAATCAGGTAGGAATGTTTGTTTTGTCAAATAATGTAGTAAGAGAATGAGATGAAATGGAGTTGAAGGTTGATTTTTCAAAACCATATCATTCACAGAGCTATGTGCATGTATGTGTGTAGACTAACGCTTAGACTCGGAATATACATCATTTTGATAGTAACAAATAATCACATTTAAATTGAAAAGGAGCCCCAGTGAGATGTGAGATTCAGAAGCTGAGAAATCCAGACTTGCTTCATTTAGGGCTTCAGCATTGCAGGGAGGGCTAGGCTGTAGGGAAAATAATGTGGTTCAGGGACTATGAGACAGACCAAGATGTTGGTTGGTTTTCCGTTTAAATTAGCAATATTTCACCTATATGGCAGTGGTCTGTAAATAATTGAGTCTGGACCAGACAATCCAGTAATCAACAGCATGAGCATCGATCTACGTAACTGGGATACAATGACATGTGTCAACCAAGTCAGAGAGCCTGACCACATGATTCCGTTAGTCACCTCTTACGACAAGCATGGCCTGCTGAAGACCAATTCTAAGACCAATTCTAATAGGTATCAAAAAATGTACTAAGAGAAAGAGATGAAAAAGAATTTAAGGTTTCTTTCACACCATTGCTTTTTATAGAGCTATGTGCATGTATGTGTGTGGCAGGGACATTTGTACTGGTCCAGACAGAAATGAGTTTTATAGTGCCAGCACACTGAGATACCATGCAACAGTTTAACATGGATGCCCACTCAACACAGTATACTGACTCCAAGCCAACCAGTCCTTGTTTTGTCCCTTTAATGATGAGTTGCAGGGAAATATCAAGTACCTTCTCTTGAAGTCCTTTCATTGTAGCCATGTTACGTTAGGCTTTAGATTGCTATGAGAAGTTGACTAGCTGGGTTTGACTCATGGAGTCTCTCAATAGCTGGACAGCTGCAATCAAAACTATTCACGATATCTCCATGGTTCATTGCGGTTTTATTCCAATTAACAGTTTCCAACCAAGAAATGGTCGTGAAACATATGATTGAATATTTTCAACCAGTTTATGTCAATAAGAAAACGAGGATTACATTTCAACATGTACAAAACCACTAACCCTAATGTGCAGGGGTATTATAATGTTTATTTGTCAATGTATTTCAGAGTCTCCAAACATAATCTCTTACAGCATAACCCTTCTACAAACATATTTTTCCAATACTGATATTTTATGAAAATTGGCCTGAGCATATTTCATGGGGTGAGTAACACTGATATTTGAATCCAAAAATTACCAGGAACCGCCTTCTAGTCACCAATAACAGTCAAAGGCCCAGGGACCTTATACCCCATAAATCTATGCCAGAAACTGTTGAAACTACCAGTCTGAACTTGACTCCAAACATAAATATTAGTAGAATTTAGGGTTCTGTTGATTATAATTAGCTGAAGTTACTCAACCAAACAGAATGTGAATCAACTCAGATGGGACTGGTTGTTAAGTTGCGTCATCGTCAACCAACTAAAATTGCTGACAGAGTCACACTCTTGTTGTTTGTGTGTCAGGGGGTGTTGCTCATGCTTTCAATCACTGGTCTGCATACACAGCAAATTACAGACAGCTGTGGTATAATTCAGCCAAAGCTGGAATACTGCCTAGGACGTTCTACAACATATCAACCTGGGGTAGAAGATTCCAACTTACGCCTTGGACTCTCTTCAGTTACCGATTCCAAAAGTCCTGTGGCGTCATATAGATGTTTCCCTGGTATTCCACAGAGGCAAACTGACGAAACCGTAACTCGCGATGCGTGACCTTCTCTTTCGGTGGTTCATCTTTCTGAAATCAAAACAGAAGTATTGCAGACATTCTGCGTATTGCAGAAAAACAAAAAATCAAAAGTTTACTATCTTTCAGATTACTTTTAGTATTTATAGCTCGTTTACATATTGGGTCTGTTACGATTCACTCGCATATGTGGTCTATCAAACATTTCCATTATCATATGATAAATATTCTTATAACATGTTTTCATCTGATATCATATTATCATATATATTTTATCTGGGGTTGTTTGTTATTTCATATTGATTATCATACAATATGTTAATATTTCATAGCTTATTGATCCTTCATTCAAATACGTCTTCCTTCTGATTATAATACATTAACATTGATTCTAAATCTACTCATCGAAACTGTATATTCGCATTATTTAAATAGCTTTTAATCTCAGTAAATGGACAAGGATGAGTTGTATTTACTAGATCAAAAACAGTTTTAACAGACTCTGACTTTGGACAAGTGGCTAAAATCACACTGACTAATGGAAACATTAGTACCATTTACTTTCCAACATTGTATATGAACATCTTGGATCTCTTTCATGTAAAACACAACTTAAAAAATTAATGTACACCCAAAAGAAACTATGATGGCAATGCCTGCCTAATTGAATAAGTGCTAGATTCTGAATGGTCGTTACAATCACATCAGGCCTGAAAGAAGCTATTTATAAAGGATTATTCAATTAACAAGCAATTAACCGGTAGCTTTTTTAAGTGCAATCGTCTTTCAGTGAAAGGGCTGTTCACACCAGACTGAATAAAAGTCAATCAAGTCGAAAAGAGTATTAGAAACTGTTTGTTTAGCATGCCTGATTGGTTGAAATGTTATTTTAACAATATAAGTTATGCAATGATTTAATACTCGTTAATTGGCTCTAAGACAAATGTATTAATTAAACTGTTACTCTAACATCATGATTTAACAAAAAGACTTGGCGATTCCCTTTCACACCTTTTCAAAGTAATTAACAAGGAGACAGGAGTTTGTTCCATGGGCAACTGAAAATCTTAGCATTTGTTTGATAACATCAGCTTTGTTTAGAAAAGACTCTTTGCTTAACGTCCATTCTTTTACTTTCAAGGTTAGGAAAAACAAATGTAACTTAAGACTGCCAAATCATGGATATCCATTGAGTTTGGTAAAATCCAGAAACTAACTTAACATTCATATTGCAATGAAAGTAATTTAGGTGTGGGCAGATTGGTTTATTGTTCACCTTGAGAATCAAGGAAACACCCAATGTTCATAATTTGATATTTAGAGCTGAAAATACACAAACAGTTTATAAGATTTGATAGCACATTAATTCTTAAAATGTTATATGATATTATTGTTGTGTAGACATTATGTTAAAGTAGTTATGAAGTTTGGTAACTGATACGAGGAACCCATACTCCTTTTGATCCCTATCAATGTGTTGCCCTCGGTGCCTAAAAAAAAAACAGTGGAAAAAGAGTCTGAACTGAGTAATTTCAAGTTGCAGGCAATTCTCATTCCCACACAGACCTCATTATCATCTGAATTAAAAGTGTTTTGAAATATGTTTGTAAACCATTCCCAACATAGATATGAGCCTTACATCAAGAGTTCACGCACTTCGGCCTGTCAGTCACAAATTTTAAGACAGAGAAGAAATGGCCACTTGTTCCTGTCTATCAAATGTAATTACAATTTAAACCAATAAAGGTGTGGTTTAAGATGAGTTTCTATGGTTGTGGCTTACAGAGAAAACAGCTCAAACATTCACCCTTGTTGGAAAAAATAGCTCAAGATTAATAACCCTGAACACAAAAAGGATATTACATTTCATAGCTGTTAAATCCATCAGCCCAATCCAGTGTGCTGATACAGTAAAAGAAACGAACTAGCTAAGCAGGCTGCGTTTTCGAACAACAAAACTGGGCCATTTTCTGAAACAATGGTTTAACTTTAGTTAATCCCTACATATCAACGTTTGTTACGAATGTACCTTCTGTCTCAATTTTTAATATGATTATTTAACTATTACATGAACAGTCTGACCTCACATGAGAAAAAAAGACACTTGTTATTCCAATAAATGGTTTACCTTTCACTTAGAATCACATATACTTCTTTGCTAAACAATGTTATCAGTTAATGATGTCTCACAAGCACAGGCTAATTATACGCTCATCTGCCCCATTAATGCGTTATCGCCTTACAAGGAAAATGGTTTCAAGGGAGATAACTGTGATTTACATATCTAGCCCCAGCTGTCGAAAACTGAGAAACCATCGACTCATTCCTTAATATAGCACACTATGTTACACAATCTCCTTATTGCAAAGTTTATATTAGGGACTTTGATTGAGGACATGACGATGGCATTTCGAAATAACCACCGGCACAGACACTATTAAACCACTTCCCGACAAGACGAAACAAGTCAGCTTCAATGTTTACAAATGAAACTGTTATAAAAACACCGCAACCCGACACCTGAGGGATTAGACATCCGCATTGGCGCCATTATCTGAGCTTTAATGAGTATACTGAAACGAAATCAACTCTAATCTAGTGTGATTTTCATATGCAGTGTGTATAAAAGGCGAAAGCTTAAAGTATGCGAGAGGAATTCATATGACACCCTCACCTCTGTTTCACGAGCGTGAACGACCGGGACTATGGCTTGTCCTTGTTTATAAAACCAATGTATTGCTAAGGTGCAACCACTGGCTGCTGCTATCATGTACAAACTCCTCCTTGGAACTGGTTGTTTAGTAAATATGCCCTCCTTCCATAATATAGGCCGCAAACTTCTCAGTAGGTCCCTGCATCTTCTCACAGCAGCCATTTTGCTCCCTGACGCACATGCGCAGAGAGCAGCCTAAGCCGCTACGATCATTGTATCATGAACCATTGGACAGTAAACAGTGCTAGGAACGATGAGCCATCAAACGGTAATTTTCTTTTAATTTCATTTGTTTACCATTATTTCAGTGACATGCGACTTACTTACCACCACTCTTGCTGACATGTCACGCTTTTTTCTTTGCATTCTGCCAATTCTTAATAGATCAATCGTATCCCGGATAGTGTTCGTTTTGTCAGCTGTATACTGCACTGATAACTTATATTCTTTTCGTGCCTGTCATTTCAAACTAGCTGACATTTAAGATTATCACTGTGACGGTTCATAATGAACTAGAAGATATATAGAGCTCCATAACGACATCTGTCTGTTTCGTTGTTAAAGTATATTCTACTCTTGAAAACAGGAATTAAGTATATAGTGACAATAATCTGTTTCATAGATAATAACGACATGTTTTCATACAGAACCCACTACGGAAGAGAAACACAGGTAGATCCTGAGGTTATCTTGCAGTAACTTATATTAACAAACCGGTCCGTTCGATAAGTAGGCTGCCGCTCGTGCATATATATAGGCTTGTGTAAACTTCTGTCTGCCCAAGTCGCTTTAGCCTGTAGGTAAGAGAGCACAAGGTTGGAAAAGTTTTATAATTACATGAAAAATTCTCAACTCCTATGCGGTGGTCCCCAAGTAAATCGCACGTAAACTAACTGTAGCTTCACATGAGATCGCCCATTTTCATTACCACGGCTCATTAAATGTTTTGATGAGACTTTAGTACATCGTGTGTGTCAGGTTTGTGAGATGTTCGCTTAAAGCACTGGTATCATTCTTCCTTGGTACGCGTCTCCTGCTAAAAACGGTTATTTCTCCAGCGGCGCTGAGTTTACACCGGTTCCAATGGAAGTCTTCGAGTCGTCTCAAGTCCCGTCTCTGTTTTTACCCCTCGTGCACTGCGTGGCTGTTGTAACCACTAGGTTCGTTCATTCATGAAGCGCTCGTGTGTGGTTGAACAGACGAATCAACGGAATGCGTTAATCCAGTTACTGAATCGATGATAAATCACTAAACAGATAACGCTTATCACGTTTTATTGTGTCCTTGATTTTTATCTCATAGTAAGCTGTGAAACAAATTACCGTTTTACCGTTCAGCAATAATTAATGCACTGAATATGTGTTTTCCCAATTTACATTTAATCGTGATTGCAACGATGCACATTATTCAACTTTGTAACGGGGATTTTCTAAAAAAAACCATGTATTTATCTGCTGAGTAAATATTACATGTTTCAAGGTCTAATGGCTTGTGGGAGGGTAGAATGTGTAAGCGTTGTTGATTTCTGTCAACTGACCGGTGCGTTTCACGTGCGCCCATGAGTGACCAACTGTCATTGGCGTTAGCCCCCTCCTCACCCACCCACACACACCGGTGGTGGTACTTGAGGTTGTATAGGGGTAGGGAGCGGACACATACTCAGGTGTAGCCCCCATCCTGACGGTCTTTGTCAGTAGCTCTAGCAGAGCCGTTGAGGTCGCTAAGAAGCAACCCACTGAGGCCAGTGACTGTATTCTTTGTGTTATGTACACTACACGTAAGTACAACCGCCATATAGATACTCAGATAGTTATTTTTTATAACTGACTTTAAAAAGCGATATCCCGTTGACAAATTGATAGATTGTTGTCAGTCTAAATCATGTCTAGACAGGTTTACGTTTTAAATGTTCTCTTTCTCCTTTTCCCAAATAAAATTAAAATTTAATACCCCAGCGTAATCGCTCTAACGCATTTATTGTCCCGGCAATTCGTCATTGTCTTCCGACATCTTAAGAAATGTCAGTGTTAAAAGCATTAGTTAAATTTAGTTAAAATGAAGACTGTATTTAAGGGAAGGAGAAACACAAACAAAAGCAATGACAACGTGAATTAGTGTTTCTAGAACCACTCACTCCACGGCAGGGTTAACTTTTTGTGATTGAAAATTTCATGCCTCTGTGAGCACGTGTGGCCGGCTGCTGTTCGGCCAAGACGAGACAGTTCACATTCAGCAATGAGCACTACTAATAGTGTCAGCTATATGCTGTCTGGCTATCGGATCCCTACTGGGCTGTGGATGCCATCTGTAGAGTGTTGCTCTCTGCTTGCCTGACCCTCAATAGTACAACTGTTTTATCGCTCAACATACCCGGTAGTCACCAGTGTTTCGACTCACACTCCGAACGTCCTGACCGTCCGGACTGCTGTGGGCGACGTGCATCCGTTATGTTACATTAAGACTTTATAACTCAGCGGCACTATATAGGTAACTCCACGTGTATGTTAAAATGAAGACAGGTTCACCAATTTTGATGGTAAATTCTCGGAATTGGATTCATTTTTTAATACCAGATTATTTATCCAATAACGTTGTGGTTCCTGCTCGATCTCTCCGACGTTTACATAACCCTCAGCGACAGTTTTTAAGTCTGTCAGCTGTTAAAGAACCATTAGGTGGGTATGATGGTTAATCATCTCAGATAGGTTTTTAGCAGATTTAACGCCCGCCTGTTTCTATTTCAGATCGTCGGCAGAGCACAGTGGCCCTAGGTGTGTGTAAGACGTTCTCATGGGTGCGATATTGGTAGACGTGGACCAAGAAACCAATGGAGAGATAACCCACATGGCGGACTCAAGTGACCGGCCATGTTATAAACGTGTTATCATCCTCTGGGGAATGCTTGGACCAGTAAAGGAGTGTTACCAAATTTCAACAACGAAAAGGATCCGCTCAGGACCAAAGCGGTGTTTGTGAAGATTGACCTTGACAGTCGTGGATTACATTTGTGTGGTGTTATTCAGCTTTTATTTATTTATATATATGTATATGAATGTTCAAAGTATTCATGTGGTGGATATACCCTGTCATGTGAGCGCTACTATACAGATTCTGGATAGGAGCTCTCTGAAGAGCTTTGCTCCATCCCAAGTATCTAACTTTGATTCACGCACGCGAAGTGCATGGGATTCGTTGGTTTGCCGAGGCAATGAACTCCTTGTGTTTTATGTTTCCATTGTTTGTTGTATGGTTGTCACGGAACAGAGCGGAACTGCATATACAAAGCCTAAACTTTCCGAACCCCCTATACCAAACTCACACCCTAGGTATTGGCAGGATTCTGTGAGACAATTACACCTGCAGAGCAAAAACAACTGGTATATTGCGATTACGAAGGATGGACATGTGTCTGGAAGTCGAGAAAAGGGAGAATCAGGTTAGTGGCGTTTATACATCTACATTTTGTTACATTTATACACTTGACTATGATTTGATCGTTTATACAAACGGTATGACATCTGTCTCTGTTTATTTGCCGATAGTGATAAAAGAATAGGAAGTAGTAGTGATCCCTGTCTAACACCACGTCAGAATGTTATTGATGAGGTGGCCCGCAAACACATCAAACATGTTCGTCATAACATTCTTCTCTACGATTAATTTATATCTTCCCGAAACACCTGGTTCTCTACGGCGAGTGCAGCATGCTTTATGGAACATGTTCTACACGCTTCACTTTCGTCGGTGTTAAAATTATTGTCATATCATAGTCTGCCAGCCCGACGAATTCCCCCTTGAGTGTCTAGTGCATATCTAAAAACGCTAAAAGAAGTCTCAGTGGTTATGCTCTCCTTAAATTCCCATTTTATTTTGATCTGCCGAATACGTTGCGAGTGTGCTACCAGTAGTGCATGTTTCTGTGATGATAACGTTGACTGGCATCTTTCGAGCGTGTGTTTCGCGCACTTGTCGTTCCAAAAGCAGTAGTTGCATGCGCTTAGAGCTGCAAAGATGACGGCCCACGTGTGTTCAACATGTCCCAAGATAGGCAGGCGCCCTAGCTTCTCTAGGTGCACCGCTAAACAGTCTCATTTCTATTTCATCTCTCGTGGTTGATTTAATCTTTGACCTACACTGATGCGGATGACTTGAGTAAACACACGCTGAATGTATTGAACGCATCGCATAGTACATTGTTGCAATGTGATATTCATAATGTATGTAATTATAACCTGCGCGGCTTTACATGTGCTAGACAGTGTACCGTCATTGGTTACCCACTTGTAGGTGATACTGATAGTATTTCATACATATATGCTTACACATCGCTCACCCATTAATACTAAAATTAACCAGACTTCAATATCAGCAGGTCGTTTTGATCAAAGATACCATTCATATTTTACCAACTACTTATATATCTTTACTGATTGTCATGCACCTATACGTTTTCCATTGTCTAATGGATACTTATTTAGCTTGTGGGACTATGGGTCCGTAATGGACGAGTGACTCAGTTTCGAGTAAGGGCACGCAGTGCTGTTCGTTAACTGGAGTAAGTGATGTACGTTTGTGGGCCCTACCCCCTGTATAACCTCATTGTGTAATGCATGACAAATTCACTTAGAAAGTTCAATGAACTTACGGGACCAAGACATATCTCACAGAATTGTTTAGTCCCTATTAATAGGCGGGACGTGCAGCCTGAAGTGCCTAAGCATTTCAGAAACGTGAGGCTAAGGTAACGTCATTCTCTCCTTCGGAACCTACCCGCTTAACATGTAACTCGTATATGAACCGGGTGGACTGCTTGTATCGTCGCGACTAAGTGCAAATTTTCTTAGTGGGTGGTGTACCTGTGTTTAAGAATTATTTTCACACTGTCGGTAAGCTAATTACCAGTTACAGTGTGATCTGTGCCTGTGCATATACCCGTCTCATTACCGTACCCGGGAGTACAATATTCACCGAGGCCTTTGTCTGGTGCTATGTCGTGCTATGTACTATATCTCCGCTCTGTTTCCATACATCATGGACCAGGCTAACGCCTCATGGTGTCTAGGGGCTTTAAGCGACTAACTGCCCGACGAGCCCTTTAATGTTAGTTAGTAAGGCTGCTCGTACCGTATTGGCGATCACCTTTGTCAAAGAGCGATCGTGCGGAGTAAAATAGCGCCGACCCTCTTCCAGTTTGCCATGTGATGTGCAAAGCTCCTGTTTAATAGACATTTGTGTGGAGTAGACGACTTTTTCAGCTAACGTGAAGCAAGCCCGGGCGCGTCCTTCTCGTGTATGTGGAATCAACGATAGTGTCACCTTTAGCGGATATACGATACGGCTGAGTTCTTGGTCCATCGACCACGTTTGTCGTCGCGATCTACTTGTCACAACGTGCAACATTGCTGAATAAACCATTAAATGTTTGACAAATAGAGTCATTAAACGGAGTTGCCGAAACCCTAGGATGTTTGATTGAAGGTTCCGTTAGGTTAACATGGTCTGTGAATCATGATTGGGTGAAACTGTTTGATGGCAATGACTCCAAGAAACGTCCCTCTGTGGCTTAAAAAAACATTGTCAACTGTCCAAAAAAGCCACAGTAAACTAATCTAATGCATATATGTTAAATATCAAAGAACTGGTCTGATTGTCATGTCATGCAAAGTTGTGGAATCAGGAATCGGCCCTGACCAGGGACAGGATTAGAAATCAGTCCACATTACCACAATAAAATTTCACACATCTTTCAACATAATTTAAATTTTACATTAACTACAATTTAGATTTTACCCCTTTCCCCACCAGCTTCTGTTTGCCGTATCATTGTGAATCTTATATCCGTGATGTGAAAGGTACCTATGTTTGCTTGAGTAGTCAGGAGTCATTTGGTGTAAAACTCAGTGAGAACGAGACGGCTCTCTCAAACAGGTGCTATCTCCGCCATCCTCCAGCTATTAAGTAATGTTTAACACACTCTCCAGAAATGATTTCGCAAAAATATGTGCATTATAGATTCATTCATTCGGATCGTAAGTGATATTGATATTAATACTTCTTCATATCATGTACGACTACTCCCGAATGTCTGGCCGGAGGGACTATCAGACTGCCTCGGCCGTGCTTTGTTTTCCGAGTGCCCGGAACCGATCTCGGTTTAGTTGTCAAGTACTATGTGGAATCTGTGTTATTAACTCTCAGCGATAACGCGAGCGTGTTATGACGCTTCGGCATGATAGTGGATAGGCTATCTGAATGCAGAGCCGTGGCAGACACATTCACACTCAGTTTACGATCAGAATCACCATGCGTGCCAATGAGTTATGCATGCATAAAGTCTTAATCATCCTTTACATATCCTTCTGAAGGAACTACTAGTGATTCACGGCAGTAGAAACTAAATTCAATACTCTCCAAAACATTACAGCTGTCAGACGGTCCCGGTATGTCTGGCGTTACAGCCAATATGTGTTTGGTAATTGTATGCTCGCCTCTCTAAGGCAAAACTCCTATTGTTATTTTTGTATGGATTTTTCATTTCCCTAAATCAGTGGGGTGCAATAAAGGTTCGATTTATACAGAATGGCTATTTTTGGTCAGACTGCCATTTTCGTGGTGCCATTTTGGCAATAACCATTGACAGGCGTACTCTTCAGGACTTCAGATCGCCCGTAACTGTCACAGTGCAGAGGTAGGTTTTGGACCCGTCTCGTTGTAAGAACCCTCGAGACTAGGACAGCCTTGACCAGGGCATCTGACTCGGACGGCACCCAATAGCCTATGGTGGATTATCAGCCGTGAATAACTATCACAGCCATGGCAATCTCTCCTCAGTGTGGTCGCGAAATTCGCGCACGATATATGACTGCGCTTTGTCTGAACGTTTCGCCTCGACGTTTGAGTCCGACGTCGCCCTTGCGTTACACGCCGTCACGGAAAGTCGTCGCCCTCAGGGCAACTGGGGCAATTATGGGATAGTCAATACACAAGATCCTATTCACACGATCTGGCTTAGGATTTGGCTTCAATTTGCCCAATGAAACAGATTAACTTTAAAGTGACAGTATCTGACCCACGTCGGACCTCGTCTCGTTTTAGGTCGCGTAAGTTTGCAAGCCTCCCACGGGGCCATGTTTTGGCCACAACAATCAAACCTTGTCCAACCCTTTGTTGGGTAAAATTCAAACGCAGAAGAACGTTTCCACCTTTGAATGAAGTACCCAAAATCAATTAATCAATAATTATTTACATCCAACGACAGAAATACGCCGTCCTAAAATAGCCTATTCACCTGTTTGCATGTAAATACATTTTGTCACAACATTTATGGTAATAATAAATTATTGATTATCCGTAAAGTCTTCAGAAATAAAAACTGGCATACCGGATATCGTCTGCTTGCCTTCATTTACGTCACGTGACGTGCCTTTCGGAGCAGACGTTAAATATTACGTCATTAAGTACCTTATATCATGTAATCGATCAAAATCTTGACAAATCGATTCCGCACGGGCGTGTCTTAATGGTTGCACCTGTCAGATTTGTGACATGAATCTAAAAGTCGCCTGTCATTAGAAATAAGGAAACGTTCTTCACGCAGAGAGCAAGGCGTGACTACTAGTCCCATAACAGACATCGACGCTACAAGCTTACTACATTACTCTACTATGGGACCGTGTCATTATGGCTCTGTAGTATTCAGGGTCACACTCACCCCCTTGGGTTAATTTTAGACGTCAATTACCGACTGAAATAGCTATATTCCCTGAATACACTCTGCGCTAACATTCCTACAATCGTTTCTTCCACTGGTCGTGTATTTCGAATATTGCACTCACTTAGAAACATGATACGAATATCAACTTAATACTTAATATTTCCCATTTGGAATTTCTAAATATTTTTACATAAATACAATGCATCTGGATTATTAAAGGAAAGTTGGATTTGTCCTTGGGCATGTCTGCAGCTAGTCTGTCCTACAATCCCTGAACCACATTATTTTCTCTTCCACTCACCCTTCCTGCAGTGCTAAAGCCCTAAATGAAGTAAGTCTATATTTCCCCAGTTTCAGGTCCTGAATCTCCTAACTCACATGGGCTCCTTTTCAATTTAAATTGGTTTATTTGTTGCTACCGAAGTTATATATATTCAGGGACTAAGCGTTAGTCTAATCTGTAGCCTGTTGTCAGTACACGCCATTCGATGCCATCAGAAAGCAAGGCTGAAATTTATACGCGCTGACTTAAACCAACTCCTGATGTTACATTAATAGGCGTTATGTAAGTAGGGACCCCGGGGGTTTGGGGTAGTGGCTGTGGTCTCCACGGCTTGCCTGTGATGTTAGGCGGCCGGACACGGCCTGGGAACTTGTATACAGGGCCTGTTTACATGCAAACACAGCCTCTGACAATATTATCCCAGTCATGACCAACTGGCCTTGTTGGTCAAGGTAAACGTTCCAGTCTTATTGGTTTGTGTCGTGTTCTATTCCTGAGAAACACTAGCGTTTCCTTGTTGATTCAGTGGTGTCAACAGACCTGTCGGTTTCCGTGTTGTACAATCGGGAACATAACAGAGGCGATACTCAAGGTTATAAAGGCGTGACAGTAACAACGTTATGAAGTTGGCTCACAACTTACCTTCTTCGTGTCAAATTTGTATTTTCATACAAGACGTCTGAGGCAGTTAATCCAAAGAATTGAAACACATCTCCCGAATGTACACACATGTCACATGACGTATAAATCGCACAGATGTCTGATATTTCTCCCATCCAACCGTTAGGAAACTTGAATTCTTTAATTCGAAGTCATCGGTTAGGAAACTTACTTCGAAATGTAACAAATTAATAATCTTATACGAGGTGTTCAAACCGACTGTTCTGTTCCACGTCGGCCATACAAATATGTATGTAATTGTCTGTGTAATGACAGCTCATCTAATGACTATACAATGTATTTGGGGTGATAATGCAATCGTCTATTTTTATCGATTACAGAGGTTCCTAATCAGTATCATGAACACACCATGTTGGCAGCTTGTCTATATCAAGCAAGGGCATGTACATATCAAAGGGACTGTAGATCACTCGTTCACCTTGCCTAGTTTGACATGTTGCCTACGTACATTTGGCGCGTGAATTTCATTGTCGGCTTATTGGATATCACATCACAATGCCCTCTACGATATCAAAGGATAGATTACGCAGATATGCATTCGTGATGTGTCAAATATCTTTCGTTTGTGAAACTGAAAATTTGAAGGTGATTACTTGGGTTATAAATGTCGCGAATAAGACATTGAGTGATTGATCGACTGTTTATGATCATTGATGGTTCGATGTATGTGTGTACACAAGTATATATTTCTCCTACAACCTTCGTATGTTTTTATGTTGTTTATGCTATCTCGTAGCTCGATTTTTCTACACCTGTCATGACATATTTGTATTGTCAGTTTCAACGTGTCAGGATGAACCAGTTTAAACCAGGGTTATGAACAGGGGTTGTTTGATTTCTTCTTTGAACACAGTTATCTACTGTCGAGCACCGTTGTTATCGAACTCTGATAACTCGATATCTCGGTTGTCTCGATATAACATTTCGGTCCCGGCAATATCCTTCATAATTTATCATTTATCAAGCTCTTTTAACTCGATACGGATGTCTCGATATTTCGGATATCTCGATATTACTCCATGGTTTCAAAAAGCAAAACTACCCTATTAACTGGATGTACTTACATATCATGGTCACTATTGTATGTGGGTGCATATGTTAGTGAATCCGATCTAAGGTCCCGATCCACAAAACGATCGTAGCGCTACGTCATTCGTAAGTCTATGATAAACTATAGAGTTACGACAGGTCGTAACGTTACGAACGCTATGTGGATCGGGACCCAGGAGTATCGGCAGACAAACTGCTACACTAGTCCATGTAGATTTATGGAGTGTACGGTTGGGTTTTTTTCATCTCAATAAATGCTTCTAAGTGCACACCGCAGTAAGCTTTCCTGGAATGTTCAATGAGATCTAGTGTATGGAGCATGTTGGCGGCAACAAAGCAGGTAGGCTTGCCTGTCAGTCCCGTGACATGATTTTTCTTATTTGATATATACAAGTAAGCTCTTCAGTGTGCGGGGGAGATGTTTGTCATCAACAAATATAGTTCTAAGTGGGAGTACCCCGATCCCTCAGTGCAGATACCTACGCGTATTTCTCAAACGTGATTTGATTTTTTTCTGTCGCAGAGTGATCTATACAATCAATATTTCATATATTCCTACTTGATTTATTACACGGTCGACCTCGGGTATTTCCTCGACGTAAGTACCGATTTATCATGAGATTGCCTCTTCTTGTCTTGTCTCCGGATCGGAGAGATAGTTGAAATTAACACCCCGGGAGCAATCCCCAGGCCAAATGGCCGTGTAGTCTGATTAAGCGAGACTTCGTAAACACTTATACTTAATCACTCGATACGATTGATGTAAGTCCTTCCACAAACAAACATGTCAGCTTATTATGGATTGTTGCTGTTAAGAACTACAAGGGCATATCAAAGATCGAATGTCCTCCAGTTATCTTGGTTCGTCAACTGACCCGAACGATTTCGAGTGACTGACAGCGACGTACATGCAACGGCTTTTATAAATATATACATGCTGTATACCGCATTTGACATTATGTATCGTGTTATCAACCGAACGTGATAAGATAGTCAACCGTTTTGTTATCGGCCAAATACAATGTAGGACGTGTACCGAATTAACGGAACTGATCCGGACAAGGGAGATAACCCCTATCGCGTATATCAAGGTCACGTGATCGCATGTTTAGGTTTTGGGAACAATGAGCACATTCATTTTATCCGTGTGTAAACATTATCAAGAATGCCATTCATATATGTGAGCAGAAACTGAGATGTGTGTGAACAAGCGGGTATAACGGATGATTATGATATTCATCTGTATGGACATGAACACTGGCCATTTGTGTCCAGTCTTAACCGAACTTCCGCTGATTAAACAATCAAATGATACGTTGCTATGATTTGCGACAAGAGCTGAATTGTTTCCTACTTAGTTTATGAACTTGAAAAATGTTTCCGAAATTTGAAAAATAACCGCCGTTTTTTTATTTCCAGCTGTTCTTATCATGACAAGTGGAATCAACAAAACTGTTGCCATGAAAGGAAAACACGCAAACAAGTTTCTGTGCGTGAATAACGACTCCAAGGTGTATGCAAGTGTGAGTATCACTTAAACAATCTCTTTTAACATTTCAGTCACCAACTAAATGAATTATACAAAATATTGGTCCGTGTTGTGCATTTTACTTTTAAGACCATCTTGAGTTTTAGTGCCTCCAACGATAATCCACTCAAACGGATCTTTTCAGGTTCTTACCGTTTTAAGACCAAAACATATATTTCATATTTGATATTTTATTGCTTGTTTAACGCTGATAATCATCGTTTGTAGTGAAGTCAGGTAACCTAATGGTTAAAGCGTCCGTTCGTAACGCTGAAGATGCGGGTTCGTTTCCCACATGGGTACAACGTGTGAAGCCCATTTCTGGGTCCACCGGTGTGATATTGCTGGAATATTGCCAAAAGCGCAAGACACTCACTCACTCACTCACTCACTCACTCACTCACTCGTCCTATGCCAGGATTTGATTCAGCACATGGGGTTAAGGCATTTTTGGGCGCCCTTTAAGTAAAGGATACTCTTCCTTCTCATTTCTAGTTTCTAATTAGTTGCTGTTTTTCTCCAGGATACGCCGAACGAACGCCACTGCTATTTTGTGGAAGAGTACAACACCAACGACTACAACATGTACCGCCACTCCTTTCACCGCCGTGGCGACCGGAAGGTCTACCTCGCCATCGACGACGATGGCACTATTAGGCTCGGCAACTCTACTGACAACATGAGAATATATTTCTTGCCGCTCGAACCAAAAAAAAAGACTCTGTGTCAACCCATTCATCTTTGGTGACGACAACAACTACGGTGGTGACAACAACTCTTCCAACGTCTACGGTCCCACCTGTAAAGCGGAGACTTGAAAGAACTCGTAAACGCCGGCGACGGTGGTGTAAACTTTTAATTAGAGGTCGTTTAGAAAAAAAGCCTGATAAATATAAGGACAGGTGTAAACATGATTGTGAAATTCTTCATAAAATGTTGGACAATCCTAAGCGATACAAGAGAAAATGTGAGAAACAAAGAAAGAAGAGAAGAAACAGGAACAGAAAAAAGCGAGGTCGTGGTCGGGGTCGTGGATCGCATGGCCGCAGACCCACCCGCCATGACCACGAGAATAAGAAAAGGAACCGCCACAATCGGGGACGAGGACGTGTTCGCCAAAGGACTGTAAAGACGACGTCGTCACAAACACATAACGACAGCGTTACGTGACGTGACGTCGTGGTCAATGTTGGTAATTAAATGTCCCCTCTAAAATGTGCTATGAAGGAGTCAAGTTGTGGCCCGGAAATGGTACCTGACTTCCGGTTCCGGTCCGAGACGCAAGCCATGTGTGATAATTTATTGTGTTTGACTGTCATGGAAGCGAAGGGATATGACATGGAACAAAAAGACATCGTTTCTTGGATTGTGTCAAAGAACGTCTTTGACACAGTCTTGTACAAAACCGTCCACATCATATTGTTCTTGCCGGCCATGTGTCTGAAGCCAAGGTGGACATTCTACGCATGTGTGAAGTGACGTATTTTCACGTGCCATCTCTACGCTGACATGTGACTCCATGTCACCGACCCACAGAACAGTGTGTCAGTTGGATTTGTGTACAATTATGTAACATACTCATCCTTCGCCAAAGTCACCTCATACTTAAATCATAATTTCATTGATTTAATCATCATACTCATTCGGCACCTCTTAAAATTTCACCTGAATCTCTGGAGCAAAGAGATATAGTTATTTTCCGAAAAGACATTGAACGTGCAATAACCGAGCATGCTCGACATACCATTAGCTGTATTATTATATTATATTGTACATACCATGAAAAATCTCTTGTTATTTTTCCATTGCATAACGGAACTAGTCCACAGATTCAATGCCTGTTACGGATCCAAAGCCTCCAGGGTGCTATTGTACAGGGTGGTGTGTGGACTTGTGCATAGAGCTCAGGTCACAATCAGGTGAAGTTAAGCACGTTGGGTGCGGAGAGTCCTTGGATGGGTGACCGTATTTGGCAGCTTGAGTCCTGAGAGTTTCTAGGACGTCAGTCCTGCCCCACAACGAAGCACTTGTCATACATATAGGCTCACCTTAGGCAATCGAGTTTGTTAAAAATGACCTGTTCTCCCAGCAGAAAATGGGTACCCGGTGGGATAAGTCGTGTGACCATAACCTTCTAGCGCTTAACAGGCAACTTGGGTTATGTGGGGTAATATTGTGCTGTGGTTTGATTGTTAGCGCTGAGCATACCTGGTGTGGACACATTATTAAAACACCCTTAGCGCAAAGACTACCTTAAGTCTATGTTAAGGTATGGAAGTTACTGTTACTTTAGCGCTAAGATCGCTTTGTACAACGGCGCCATGGACTGTAGCCTTTATGCAAAGTTATCACTTGGTTATTATTTCATGTTTAACTTGAATTCTACAATCAAACATTTTCATGAAGAAAGCACCGCCGCAACCTTGATACGAACAGACCCAGAATCTGTTCAAAAGGAACTAGGGCAGCACCGGGAGCCCTGTCGTGTAAGGCGCCGCACAGATCAATCCCATTTGCCCGTCAGAAACCATCATGGGTTCGAATCTGGTTCTGCCTGACCATTTGGGGGTCTGTCAGCCCATACGCGGGCACGTGGATCTGATTAATGTGGTGAAAGTCTAAGAACTGCATCACTTGGGGCTGCGTCCAACATTTAACTTTCGCGCCATAATTGAACTGGAATACTGTACAAGGCTAAGTCCAACTCACTCACTCACACACTGAAAGAACTATAGGACCTTTCATTTAGAAGCCATTTGGTTTGATGGCAAAGGAAGCATTAGTTACAATATCACTGGATATGGAGATAACCTATACAGTACCTATTAGCGTTCTATCTTCTGATGATTATTGCTGAGTGGGCGTAAAACTAAAGTCACTCATTCACTCACTCACTCACTCACTCACTCTAGCTTCTGGTACATTTTACTGTTGAATATTGATGCAATACACAAAGGTTCTTGCATTATGGGGTTGATAACCGACGTGAAAGATCAAGAAAGAATTACAGGCATCCTCAAGGGTAAGAGACTAGTCTCAATTACCTAATTACAAAATGTTAACTTGTGAAGATATATATTACCGATTCCTTTGTCTTTCGAAAAAATTGCCGATCCTTAATGGTTGCAAATAGTTTCATAGACAAAATCGATTGTTTCTTTCAGCAAGGTTTAGTTATATGGTGTGTTTCTCAAGCCGTCTGAACTAATGGGGGCGATGGGGTAGTCTAGTGGTTAAAGCGTTGGCTCGTCACGCCGAAGACCCGGGTTCGAATCCCCACATGGGTACAATGAGTGAAGCCCATTTCTGGTGTCCCCCGCCGTGATATTGCTGGAATATTGCTAAAAGCGGCGTAAAACCAAACTCAGTCAGTCAGTCAGTCTTAACTAATGCTAAGTCCACCAAATCAAGCCAGGAATACATACGAGCACCATACTAAAGGGCAGTTACCGAAGCTAATGTACCGGATGGATAGCATGAAATACTACTTCGGTAACAAAGACACGTGTACATAGTCGGCGTTGTTGCATTTCGAAATCTGAACTACTTTTTCACATCCATTGGCACCAGTGTCGTTGTCATGTAGAAGTTATCCACACTGCCCCTTCTACAGTGACTGAATGTTGTTTTACGCCTCTGTTTGCAATAATGCAGCTAGACCACGGCGATCTGTATGTAAGTGAGTGACATGACCTATAATCCCCTTTGTCGGGTAGACAGGCCATGCAATCAACCAAGTTCTTCAACCCATAATGCATCATGGTTCTGCGATCATGTGACAAAACACAACTAAAACACCAGCCTTGACCCTGACTGAATTTTGAAAGTGTTTTACAAGATGCTAGGTCTCTATGCGGCGGGATTTGGCGGTTATTAGGTTTGCACAGAATGTGTTTTTTAATTTCACCCCTACAGTGCCGCTTACAGAGTTATAGCAGGAGTAGAATTAACCGAGTTCACCCGACATGGGTAATGATGCCGACTGTCTTAACCGTGGTTCTCTGTGGAGCATGATCCGTGTCGTCATAACAACACCGCAATTGTGTTAACCGGTCAATTACGGCCCAAGTTTCACACAATACATTTCTGTAGACAAAAGTTGAAGTAGGCGAAAGTTGATGGCGCTACTCGGTGCCGATTATTGGTTTGACTCAATAGCAAGCGCCACTTGAGTCTTTCAAATAAGCTAGGTAACCTTTAATAGTGCAGTGCACACACGAGAAGCAAACCGCCATTTACAATGGCATCTGATGGGCGTCCATGATAACTCTTTGGAGGACGCTGACGTAATTTGAAACAGAACAAATCGTCAATTAACTGCCTGGTTGGTCCAGTAATTTGAGGAGCGGTGGTGTAGGTTAGTGGTTAAAGCGTTCGCCAATCACGCCGAAGGCCAATAATGTGGGACCGCCTCCGTGGTGTACTGGTTGGAGCGTCCGCCCGGAGTGCGGAAGGTCGCGGGTTCGATCCCCGACTGCGTCATACCACCGTTAAAAGACGTTAAAATATGGTACTTGTTGGTCCCTGTCTGGCGCTCGGCATTAATGGGTACAACAAGGACAGGTCGGCACGGAGTCAGTATAATGTGTCTGAGTGGGGTATTCCTGCTTCACTGTGGCATGGTATCTCAGTGGGCTAGCACTATAAAAACCAGCTTAAGTCTGGGCTAGTACAAGCAACCGCACATACACATACACATGCATGCACGTCGTGATATGAGCGAAATATTCTCAAGCACGACGTTAAACCCAATTCTACCGCCACCAATAACTCACACAACAATTCACACACTAACTTAACTTATTTATTCATTCACTCACTTACTCACACGGACAACTGAAGACAGTCATTTTACATATGTAGGCCCCATTCAAGCTGAGAAAAGTAATCGAATTATGCTTCAGTTCCGCTCAGGGTTTAAATATCAATAATGATGAGTGAGTGACTGGGGTTTCCAGCAGTATGACACCAGAAATGGGTTTCAAACATTGTACCCGTTTGGGGAATCGAACCCGGGCCTTTGACGTGAGGATCAAACGCTTTTACCGCTTGGCTCTCTCACTGCTGTAATGGGTTGTCTGACCCACCATTCAGCAGAAGCATAGATAGATCATGACCTTCAGTTTGTCGCGGATCCGGACCAGCAAAACATGTGGTTAATAGCATGAACAACGATCTAAACCTCCCGGAACTAAGTCATTATCAGGCGGGTTACTCAGTGTTGCTGAATCATTGCTGATGTGACTCACCTACTCACTCACTTACTCATAAACCCGCTCAATCACTTACCTACTCACTAACTCACAAACCCACTCAATCACTCACCCACCCTCTCACTCACTCACCCAGCATCACTCACTCACCGTTACGCATTGCACAGGGGCGTGTCACGCTTATAAAGAGCGGTAGAAAGACATATAGGTATATAGGCCCTACCCTAGTACTATATAAAAGGATCCTTTTATATAGTACTAGGGTAGGGTCTATATACCTATATGTCTTTCTACCGCTCTTTCTAAGAGTGACACGCCCCTGTGACACATTGTACATGTGGTACATGTCACGGTGGGGACAAAACCCTTCTGTACCGAGGATGTCGCTAGACTCTGCCTACTCATATCATTTTTGCATGGAATAACATTACCATCAGTTGCCACCTGTATGAACATAAGCTTCAGTGTCAACATCATCATGACAACACATCACGATTCAGAACAGCGAAAACACTTCCATGGTCGTCTAGCAATACATCAACAATGGACTTCAGTAACAAAGTCTTTCTGCCTTTGTTCATCCTAGTTGTCTTCAAACTCCCTAGGTAGTCACCATAATTTCTCCATATATTCTGTGTTGACAGGGAATTAGTTTCTGCGGTCTAATCTCGAACCCCAGGAAACATGTCCCATAAAACAGTATGCATCTTAGAAGTCAAGGAGAGGGTATATAACAAAGTCCAAAACTGTACTTCAATGGGTGTTTTCCTCAGAAATGCGCGTACTGTGACACACCCACGTGTATCATAAAGATCTGCAGAGGTAAACATGGAGTGGTATAAATCTGCAACAACAGGGCACTTAACAGACGAGAAGTCGGACGAGACTTGAGCTTGACGGATTAAAAAAATGACAATAAACTGGAAGTAATAAATAATTGGTATTAATTTGTTTAATGCCAGTATACGACTGCACCTAGTTTTCTTTCAAGGAAATAATTTACTTTCAAACAGATACACATACAGAAGTACCCTACTAGACTAGAGCGTGTTAAACCATTCTAAATCATTTGATGTTTTGGGTTAGTTTGTTGCCGCATTCAGCAATATTCCAGTTATATGACGGCGGACTGTAAACAATCGAGTCTTGACCAGACAATCCAGTGATCAACAACATGAGCATCGATCTACGCAACTGGGATACGACGACATCTGTCAACCAAGTCAGCGAACCTGACCGGCCGATCCCGTTAGTGGCCTCTTACGACAAGCATGGGTTACTGAAGACCAATTCTAACCCGGATCTTCACGGATCTAAATCATTTGAAAATGACACCAGACGCTATGCAGAATGAGCGAGCGATTGCAGTGGACTTAATGTCGCTTGTATTCCAGGAATAGTACGTCCGGAAAAGAGTTTAAAAAATTGTGTCCATATGAGGATTACAACCCGTGCCTGCAGCAGGACGAGCGAACACTTTAACCACTTGGCTACCCACCGCCATTCGTGAGTGAGTGAGTTTAGTTTTACGCCGCACTCAGCAATATTCCAGCTATATGGCGGCGGTCTGTAAA